TCCCACAAATTATGCCAATCACCCCTTAAATACTTTGGTCCGTTGGAGCCTATTTTTCTACTATAAAATGAGGTGTTTGGGTCTGTTTTACACATAACATTACTTCACAACTCCTACTCTTTCATTGCAAATCATTCTTTAATTATTCATAGCTTTTGAGAGCCATTTTTGTGAAGCTTGTGTTGTGTTCTTGAGCGTTCTTAGTTTACTCATATCCACTCTTAAGGAGAGTCTTGTTCTTGAGTGTCTTAGTGTTGTATACACGTTAAGGGAATCTTGTTTCCCTTGGTTGTACGAAGGAAAGGTATTTTTCTTCGGGTTGAAGTCTTGGAGTGCGGTATCTCCGAGCAAGTGTTGTTGAGGCTCGTGGGACTCGAGTTCTCAGGTTGTAACGGTTTGTTAAGCACCCGTAAGCTTAACGGAAGTAGTGTAGCTCGAGAGAGTCTCTCGGGAGACTGGATTAGCCACACGTTGTGGTGAACCAGTATAAATCTTGGTGTGCTCCCTTTACGCTTTCTACGCTCTTTACGTTTCACGTTCTTAATTTTTTATTCTTGCGATTTCTACGATCAAACGCTATTCACCCCCCCTCTAGCGTTGGTCACTTATTCTAACAACGTTGTATGGCCAGTGCGAACTACATTTTCTTCATTCTTCAGTCTTTCATTGTTGGTGTCACTGTTTAACGTCATATCGTCACCACAGTCGCGATCTTTCACGTCAAAATGATATCCGAACGAGTCAATTATCTTATTGATTTGTCTTGTCAACATCACTTTACTTCATTTATTCAATCAAACTACATTGACGTTTCCGATGATAAGTAATTAGGTCATTAATCGCTTCATAACAAGGCATCAGTTCATTCAACAAGGTTGAATTGTCTATAGCTTTTAACAAGCAGGTTCTTTGTATTTGACCGAACAAGTTGTTAGTTCATAGTAAAGGATAACAATTCTCGATCGTCAGTTTGTTTGAATTTCCTATCAAGGATTTGTGAGTATCTTGACCGTAAGTCAATCTTAGAGAATACAATGAATTCTCTTAGCTGATCAAATAAGTCATGGTACGAGGTAAAGGATAACGAATTATTTAATCGACAGTAGTTGATATAAAGTTTCATTGATTCGCGTATGAACAGAACATGTATTCTCCCAAGGAGGAAACACTTGGTCAGATGATTCTTTGTCAGGAAGTCATTGATGAGAACACGTTCAATATAGAGTTACGAATATTGGTCCTTTCTCGGATCAAGATTGGCAGGGAATACAATTTCTCGGAACAGTGAAGTATTAGGAAGTTCATATCAGAGAGGTGACATACTCTCGGTACGTTACTTCAGTTCAGAAGTTTCTTTTCGCGTAGACTTCACACGAAAAGACTTTACGCTCCTTTTTGGTTGAGGGGTTGCACACATAAATTCGAGATGAACTCGGTCGGTTTAGAAATCAGTTTTGCTTTTACCTATATAAGGTTTCCACCATCGATCTTTAGTTGAAGAATTCTTCGTCAAGAGTTATCAATACCAACATCGTTCGATCAGCCAATGTATACTAATGATAATTATCAAATTCCTTGTATGGTATTTCAACGAAGTTTTGCAAGGAGTTGTCGCTTAACAAACGATTTTGATTCCTAAGATATAATCGCATATTTGCATCTTAATAAGTTAGACATCAGAATGGGATGCTTTAGATAACAGAGTTTATTGATTCTAACGTTCGTGTTTGAATCAGCGATTAGATCGTCTTGAGTCCACATGAGGATCTTCAGCACTGGATTCGCAGGTGTTGTTCGTAAAATCAACACTAATCGTTTGTTCAGAGTTGTCCCACTTTCGTACGTCCTTTTGATACAGATCGGTTTCGTTATTCGCGATGCGATGCATACGTTGATAACGTATTAGAGGTTATACATATTTCATTTATTCTTTTGTCTCTTCACCGAGTACGAAAATTTTAACTTGAGTCTATGCTCTATATAATTTTAGTACTAACAATGGTTATCGAATGAGAATTTTAACAAGTCAATATTTACTAAGTAATATCTTATACCTTTCCTGGAGCAGAGGGACGCGAGAGTCGTGGATGTGATTGACACAAATTTTTTTTTTATTTTGATCCGAAGATCGGTTTTAAAACCATTTGCTCTGATACCAAATTGTAACACCCTAATCCGTCCAGGTCTGCAGCCCCTTTCGGACTAAAGTATTAACTTGGTAATCGTAAAATTTAAAACTTTTCAAACACTTTTATTTATCATAATAATATTTTTCATATCCTAAACAGTACAGAGTTTTCAATATTGCGGAAGCTTAACAAATCATAATCACAAACATAATTTATTTATATTCTTTAATTCAAAACCATCACATCCATTCCGACTATCTCGCCTCCAGGATCACGTCACATCATTCTATTGACCTGCGTGTAGCAAATAAAACACACTACACGCTCAGCGGTAAAGCTGAGTAAGCATATCTAATGCGTCGAACATCCACATAAATTGAATCTCAATTCATAATCAACCATTTGATATCATGCACATAATGTTCAGTTTAGATAGTCAATCATCAATATTCAAATTTTCAACAATCATTATTCAATCATCCAACATGTATATCCATCATTTGTCATTCAACAGTATCCTTAAACTATTCTTAGTCTAAGGCCAATCACTTTAATATTTGTCAACC